CATGGATGTGCAACTAGTCATCAGACATTACATTCTTGCATCAGACATTACAAAGGTCAAATGCAGACCCTCAAATTCCATGTCAGCATGTTGGGATTTTGTTCACTGTAGTACATGGAATTCCACGTGGGGCTGGGCTCACTGGAAAGGACTTATTTTCCTAACAAAAGCCAATCACCATCTCTGGTAGATCTTCCCATTTTTATTTTGTAGTGAAATCAAACATCAAATATTTTCTCTTCTTTTTAAGAGTTATGAGGAGTCTAAAGAAGGCATAAGATAACCACATTGCGGCTTCTTCAGGTAACAGAAAATCAGAGTACTGCTATATCACCATATGAAATATACAAGTTAGGTGGAGATGCATTAACTAGTGTTATTCATCAGTCTAAAATGATACAATTTATTACTTGATAATAATGGCTATGGCTGTATAAGTAGTAAAGGTAAAATTACATCATAACTTGCATTAGCAGTATGAGATTATATCCTGATTAATGCACAATTAACTTGTCATGTGAACAGTGCATGTGTTTGTGGGTGGACAGATGGGTTACACTATGTCTCATACTCACATGTACAGCAATTATTACTTTTTCCCCAGAATTGGATATTGGTCTACATCTACTAAAGTCCTTAGGCAGCCCATCAGCTTAGTGCAGAGCCACCTACAGTCAGTGTATCACTAAGAAATCCCTTGGAGGTGACCACTGGGAAATCTTTAACACTTGCACTAATCCTTTTCCCCTCTATAGACTGGGAATGTCATCCACAGCTCCAGAATGGTATGTCAGCTGAAAGAAATAGCCTTAATTGCTCTTCTGATGGGAGGCACAGTCACCTGAGCTGATTTCAGGGTTATATTTCACAGCTCCTACTCCCAAGAGAAAGCTTCTAGCAGCACTATATGACTGTGGGTGAGGAATTTTTCTATGTCTTTTTTATTTTGATTTTACAGAGAAAAATAATTAAGCTGGAGGGATGGTTAAAATGGCAGCTAGAAGGGTTTTTACTTTTAATTGCAACTATGGATTGAGATGCTTCACACAAAGATTCACACAAGAGTCACACAAACTCCCCTTTAGATGCAGAACTCCCCTTTAGATACTCATAGTGATATTCAGCTTTGTCTATCTGTTTGCTCCCTTCCTGTTTTTTCTTCTGTTGAGTGTACGCATGTGACTCTGTATATCTGGGTGCATGCAAAAAAAATATAGAAACATAGTTAACGTTGTTGAAGAGAAACAAAGGACCTCCAAGTTTTAGTCTGTGTTCTGTCACAAAATCAGTCCTTGAGACCATCCTTAAGAAGCTCACTTTATTTTCTCTCTCTGGGTTTCTCAGTCTGTACTGGTGGAAAGGGATAATACGAGGGCTGCTCCCAAAATAATGTCTCCTATTTTGTTATGTTAGCCCATGATGTTTCAGGTGGGTGTTGGTGGCTTGACAGTAGAGGCTGAACCTTCCAGCCAGTCACGTCTTGTTGGTGTGCCACAGATAGCAGCAGATGGGTGGTCTGAGAAAATGGCACTGACGTGGAAGCGCTTATGAATCAAAGGAATGTTACTGATTTCCTCCATGCAGAAAAAAATGGCACCCTCTGACATTTACTGATGCTTGCTGAATGTTTACAGAGATCAACAAGTGGATATCAGCACAATGAGGCAGTGAGTACTGAGGTTTCAGCACTGGAGGCAGCAACAATGGGTCACCTCCAATGGTGCAGATTTTTACCAGCACAGAATGCAGGCTCTTCTTCATTGCTGGTGAAAATGCACAGCTAATGGTGGTGACTGTTCTGAAAAGTAGCACTTTGTAGCTGACAATTTGCTCTATCATATTGTGCTATTGTGCTCTTTGTAGCTGTTGCGCTGTGGAAATAAATAGGAGGCATTACTTTTGGAGCAACCTATGTATGTTGTTATTTTAGCCTACCTCACTCTCTGATATTCAATTAGCTGTTTGAAGTGCAAATTGTTGACTGATGACAGAACATAACTTATCAAAATAAATGGCATCATATTTTTTGCACACTCCTCAGTACTGAAATCTACCAGAAAGAGTTGGCTGACTTTGATCCTTACTGTGCTTTATTTTCATGTTTGATGATTCTCTCCTGTTCCAACACCAAATGATGGTCATTTTCTAGCACTTCCAATTTATAAGCAAGAGCTGGAGCTGATGTAATAAGAAAAAATCTAATCATTTTGTTGTCTTGGCATTTATTTTTCAGCTGACATAACTCAGTAGTTGCTGATTTGAATACCGTTTCTGATGCAGGAAACTCAACACTGAGAAACATGCAGAGTTTCTGTTTTGCAAATCTTTAGTGTTCTAAGTATACAGAGAACCATGCTATGTTTGCTTTCTACTGTTAGAATGTTTTTAAGTAACTCATATTTAATTCTGCTACATAGAACACTGTACAGTAGAAATCCTGTTAGCAAATTAATAGCTAGTAAATACCCTTATTTCAAGGAATTCTAGAACAGACAGTGTAACTTCTCTTTTCTATGTCTGACATCTTTGATTCCGCGATGATCAGGTGAGCTCACATTAGATTATATTTGTCCAGTCCAGTTGACTCCGTCCTCTACAGAGAGACTCTATTTTTGTCATTAGGAATTCACTTCATTATGCCCTGATCTTCATTTTCATTATATCCTTGGAGATACAATCAGGAGATGATGCTACATAAAGGCTAGCCAAGGCTTCATTTACACAAGTAAAAATGAGAAGTGGCATCAGCATTTATTTGAGATTTAGTTGCTGATATGATAAAACTCACAGAAGTTATTACATTAGCATTAAGCCTGCATTAAGCACACGTTATACCTTAGACTATTGTGGGGGAGACCAGAATCTGCTCTGCAGCCTTTGAAATATAACTGAAAGCTCGTGTATTATTAAAAATAAAATCATTCTTTCTCATTCCTCAGGAGTGGTTTGTGTCTCTACTGAAGTACTTCAGGATGACAGAAGAGACTTTCAATTGTACCAGCTGAAATAACTGACATCTTCACTTCTAAGAGTGAGTTTAAGATTCAGTGATATATTAAAGCTTACATTGGTTGTATGCAAATCAAGGAGGAATAGAGTAATTTCCTTTGTTGGTAATCTTCCTATTAAAAAGAATTGCCAAGTCTGAAAATGGAAGTAGTATAAAGTTGGGAAATGTTGAGAATTCAAGCAAAATACTTTGGGTTAAAGTAGTTAATTGTCAGGTCTGAAGCATTTGAATTTAAGCATTTGATTTAAGGAAATGTAATTACATTAAAGCTAGACGTCTACTTCAAACAAGAAATGAAAAAAAATTTTAAACTAAAAACCACCAGTCGTGCCATTCTCTATACAGTGTTTTGAGGGGGAATTTGGCATTGCCAAATCTGTACTCTTCCTGGAAAAAAGAAAGTTTTGTGCAGAATTTTGTCCAAGCACACAATTAATGCTAGCTGTTATTCAGAAGACATCACAGCTTGCAGAGAACCAGCATAATCACTGCCTCACACCTGTGCTACTTTCCAGATTACCTGCTCCGGGGCTGGAGCCTTCCCAATAGATAAACAGGTAACTTCTCAATCACAAATACCTAGTTTGCCCTCTGCACAGTTTCCCACCGAACAAAGCAGGGAAAGGCATGCAATACGGTTAGCTCCAGCTCTGCAAGGGTGAGATGCTTTTGCTTTTTGAAATTCCCTCTCTTCCCCTTTTATTGATGGCTGGGCAGGAAGACTGAGAGCTTAAGGGATCTGACATCTATGACTAAGACAGTTAATACGCTGCGTCAGAAAGCTGCCAACGGGATCCAGGTAGCAGTTTGCCTGTTAGCATTACGGAGCAAGAAACTGACGGGTTTTGGGGTGCGTCCTTCAAGCATCAGGAGCTGCTTTGCAATATTTTCAAGCTGCAAGCATACGAGGCAAATGCAAAGGATTATTCCCCCTCCCCTCCCAGTCCCCATCAGTTCCCAGCCCAGCCTGTAATTTGGCAAGATGAATGAAGTGTTTTCAGAGTGTCATCACTCCTGCCTCTGGCAGATTTGCTTCCCCAGTCTGCCTTTCGCCTTTTGGACCTGTCACTCAGCCCTTTGGCAGAGGGGAGGAGGGGGAGGGAGGAGGAAATCATCTCTTTGCTAATCACCTATCACAGGCAATGAAATCCCACAGGCTGCGTGCCAGCTAGGTACATTTCAAAGGGAAATGGAGGGGGGCAAAGTGTCACTCAAGGCAGATATTTATGAAAGATGACAGTTTGCAAATATCTCAATCTTGGACAAGGCTGCTCCAGTGACACAGAGGAGTGTTGCAAAATTGGAAGAGTCAGCAGCCAACATTTATTTCATCAGGACCTGTCCAATCTTCAGTGATCGCTTGACAGTCTGGGGATTGCTGGCACAAGCCGACCTCTTTCTATTGGTTGCTTTCATTTAGTTTGCATGGATCAGTCTAAAGAGTCGTAATAAATATGTAAAGAAGGATAAAAGGAGTAGTTTTGCAGAGCTGCATACTCAATGGGAGAACCGGCACAAAGCTACCCTTTTTAGCTATGCCAAATAGGAAGAGTAGTAATTACACTTCTATTGATCGTCAGGGAGTGGGAACAATGAGATGTAGCCCCATCTCACTGGTGGAGGCCCCTGCGACTCGTGAGCTCTTCCACTGCCACCAGCAGCTGCAAGGGCAGCAACAGCTTCTGTGAGGAGCCCTTCTCCCACCTGCCTCCTATCCATGTGGCACGTGAGAGACACCCTTCAGGGTTGGAGTCTAAAATTTGCAACTTTCACAGCGGCCGTTTAAATGCTTTACACCCCCTTTTCTGCAATTCTGTCCCAACAGACGGATTCGACCTGACTTGACTCTCACAGCCCTCAGGGAACGTTACCACCGAGTGAGGCACGGCTGCACACGGTCAGCCAATCAGAGGGCTCCACAGCCACCACGTGACCAGTCTCGAGGTTTTATTTTCCCACCCCTCGGGCTCGTGCTGGGGGTTCTGGCGGCCATTTTGTGCCACGTGGTTGGCATGGAGGAGGGGAAAGAGGGAGGGAGCACAATGGGGCCTGAGGCTTCCCGGGGTGTAACGCAGCTGTGTGCGTACAGGAGCAAGGGAATACATTCCTCAGAGACAGCAAGGAGTTGGGACACCGTGGGAAGCAGCAAACCGGAGCACCAAGCAGGTAGGAGGCAAAAACGTGATGAGTGTGGACGTGGAGTTGTGTTCCTTGTGCAAGGAAATGGGGCTGGAGGTTTTCCCCTCAAAGGGGAAGGCGTAACCAGTCAGGGCGTGATGCTGCCATCAGCCCTTTGGCAAGGAAGTGCTTCTGTGGGGCTGCTTCCAGCCCGTGTTTCTGCCTTGTTCTAAAGGGTCTAGATAATGTTTTGGAGACAAGTGTTTTCGGTCATAAGGTGGATGCTTCTGCTTCTTAATGCTCTGTCATTTGGTTTGCTCCTGTGAGCTGACTGGGAGGATGGTGACACAAAAATGCTCTGTCCTACAGAAACGGTGGGTTGGATTACCCTGCTGTGGGCTGAGTAGCAGCAGTTTCTGAAATGTGCTGTTAGGAAGGTCTAAAGCAAATGCTATTGCTGACATGAACGGAGGGAAAAGCGTTTGTTAGTACGTAACTGTAGTGTTCAGATGCAGATGTTTTGTTTCTTGCCATTGATGATGAATTGTAGGTAAGTAGGAGTACTCATTTCTTAATATTCACTGTTTTCACAGTTAGGTGTAAGGTCTAAAATAATATGCTGCTCCACCTGCTTGCTGTGTGGTGCTTTCTGGCATTGAGGTTGCACTGAGGTTGTGATGTTATGTTAGCAGAACGTGAAGTTGTTTTTCTGCAATAGTATTTTTCAGTTCAGTTGAAATGGATTGTGAATTAAAGTAAAGGCCTTGTTCTTCCTTTTGTTATGTCTTGCTTATCTCAGAGTTTTGCATAATTTAACCTACACTGTGAAATGAATCAACACCCTTATTTCAGTCATCTTAAAACAAGTTGTTTTTTCTTCTTGCAGTCTTGAGGGTTCTTTTAAGTTGCATGCGAATAATGGGTGGTGATACAATACAGAGCTCCTGAGCAGAGAAACTTCTGTTGTTTTGAGTCCAGTTATTGATGTTAGTATATTTTAAGATGAGTAACTCTACTAGGATGCTCATGTGGCTGTATCTTCCAAAATGAGCAGTGAAATGAAAATGTACTGAGAGGTCTACCTGTTCAATGTCCAACCATGTCAGCTGTGACTGTTCCCCAAATGTTCTTAAATGTGCATCTTAGTATTTGCCCAGTTCAGCAGTGTTCGTGGGTATGTTGAAGCCAGTATACAAGTGGTGTAGAACCTAAGGTTAGTGTCATGCTAGCCAGAATGGTAGAAGTTGCTGTTGTCTTCATTGTCTGCTGTGCTCAATTGTTCAGAGCTGGTGTGAAGAATCTTCCTCTGCAATTTTCTCTTGGATTTTCTGTTGGCAGGGCATAGGAAAGCTGATTAGCTGAGTGGGTGGCTTAGCTGAGGAAGAGGCTTGCACCTTCCCTTCCCTCTAGTACAAATACCTTTGCTAAAACAAATGATTCATACCGAGTGATTCCTGGGGAAAAAAAATGAAGTGCTGTAGAAGACGAGTTAATCATTGCACACCCTGCAAGGAGCAGAAGGCCATTCCAAAGTAATTGAAGTTATCTTCATTATTCTTACTTTCAATTACATTTCAAAATCAAATAAGTAGTTGCCTTTTAGACACTTTCATGATCTAAATCCCAGTTCTGTAATTTTTACTTGATGCTTACTTAGGCAAAACTTCTGCTTGATTTTAATGTTCCATATATTTTGGAAGAAATTTACTGAAAGAAAGAAACTAAAGAAAGTCTTGGTCTTTGAAGTAGCAGAATCTCAATCAGTCCCCACAAACACATGTGTAGATCTTGCAAGTCACCTGTCTGTTATTTAAATCTATATTCAAGCAACTGCTTTTCAGGTGCCACCTTGACACCAATTAAGCACACAGCTGTGCATCTGCTCATGGGCATGACTGGACTAGATTAGTGAAGTGTTGTAACTTGGCCATCTCTGTTACTGCAGAGTAAGCAGAATGATTCTTAATAATTATTTAACAGTTAATGAAGGAAATTAGTGGCTGTATCTGAACTATGTAAAGCAGGTGCAGAATCTAGTTGCTTACTAGCCCTTGAGGGGGTAGTTGGCTGAACGTTTTGAGAGCTAGTAAGCTAATGTTAGCTTATGCTGAAGCATATAGAGTGGTTCTCCCAAGTTCTTGGATGTGGGGTGCAGTAAGGATTTCTATAAACTGGATTGCTTTTAACCACAAATGTACCCGCATGTCTGATGTCTCAGAACCTGTATGTCTGTACCACGTATCAGTGCTTCAGTCCTTTGAAATACCTCATTCCTTGAAGAAAGGAAAGGAACTTTAAAAATAATAATAATAATAATTCAATATTATTCAATGGAATTCATCCCACAGGACAGCAATTCCCATACAGGTCAGAAAAAAAAATACTGTCTCCTTTTCTGAATATCACTTTTCATACGGTAAATCCCTCAGAGTCTTTATTGTGGAATGAATAATAGATTAATCATTCCTCTGTGTGCAATGCTGAGGTTCTCTAATGTCACTGATTATTCTATATTGAATAAATAGTGTTGCTAGGTTGATATGTTTAAGGCAAATGAGATGCTTATTGGTATCCAAGAAGCTAGTTAACAAGATCCATTTTCCTCCATTGACTTCTACTCATGTATTAATGAGGTTCAAAAATGTCTTTTCTGTGCGTATCAGATAAACGTGCCTTTGTTATTCCCAAGAAGCACACAAATATTTGCTCCATTTATATTTGTATTAATGTGTCACTGAAGCTAAATTTTCAGAAAGGGTATAAATACCATATCCATTAAGCCACTTAAAGGGTGAGTTCTGCAAAACTCTGCTGCAGTTGTTGCCATGGCAAATATCCATATTTAGGGAATTGTGTGGTATCAAATCTAGCATAAAGGACCAAAAGAAGGAAATGGACTTCTCCCCTGACAACTGTCACCTACCTATATGTGCTTAAAAAGTTGTAATGGCTGAACGAGCAATGTATTGAATGGTAATTTAGGAGTGTGATGTGTGAAAACACAGTGCTTCCCAAAACACACTGAGGGAGGAAGAGAGCAGTGGAAGACAAGAGTTGAACACAGCCCAGTAAGTGGTGGGCATTAGTGTCAAGATTTTTCTGGGCAGTGGTGTGCTGACTTGCTTAGAACTGTTCTAGATGTAGCGATGAAAACGCCACCAGACTTTTAAGTAGAAGTTGGGTGAAGTTAAAGTAAGGAAAAAATTGAGTGAGAAAGCTTGGAGGTTTTCTTTGTATGAAGAGCCAGGCTGGAATGACACAATTCATGTTGCCTTGGGCTCCCTTTTGGGCAAGCGTCTCTAAATCAACTTAATTCTTAATTTTTTTGTTTCCCTTCTACAAAGATACTGTCGAGCATGAGTGAACTAACTAAGATGTGAACTGGGATTGTTTTGCCCTGCAATATTTTGAAAACAAATAAAAAGAAAATACCAGGTGTGATTTTGAAATTGATGCATCTGAATGCTGGCTGTGTTTGAACACTTTGTGTGGTTAGATGAACTGAATGAAAGAAAACCAATAAGCGTGCCTTAAAAATAACCAGGTCTAGCATCAAATCCTGACTGACTTCATGCCTGTTTTGAACCATGGGCATCCTGGGGCTGAATGGAGAATGAATTACATGTGGATGCTGGGACAAGGGAGTAGAGATTAATATATAGAAAGCCAAGAAGCTTACTCCTTCTCTTCACCTGCCCGGAGCAAATTTCCTGGAAACATCTGCAAATGCAGTATAACGAGAAAGCAGAGCCGGGCCCATACTGTGCAGGAAGTCCCAGCCTTTGTCTGCAGCGCGGGATACAATAATATCAGGATGGCGGCTGAACGAAGGGCATCTCTATGTATAAATCCAGATCCCTTTTTTCTTTTGCTGGTGAAGGGAAAAGGGGAGACCGGGGAGCAGGTTGAAGAACACCTGGGAGCCATATGGAATTTACTGATCTTTAATTAAAATCTTGTAGCTCGGTTTCAAACCTTGCAATAACTTAGTAAGGAGTAAAACTTTACTGGATTCGGTGTAGTAAAGCCTGTGAATATTTGCAAGTTGCCTACAAATTGCAGTTGTCTTCCAGTGCAAGTTGGAAGAATTGTTGTTTCTTTTGTGGCCCTGATCCAAATCCACAAAATCAGCAGGGGAGCCTCTGGCCTCCAGATCAGGTCTGCAGCGTGGTTGGTATCTCAGACCTTCTTGGGTGTTTTGAAAGTGCATGGAACCAAAAATGTCATTCTTTCTCCAGACATTGGAATGCAGCAAAGAGGTCAGATTCCTCCAGCCGATACTTTTGTTTACAATTCGCTTGTAAGAATGGGGTTGATTTCCAGGTATAATTCTGTTATAACCAGACTCCTGTGTAGACCTGTTTGGAGAATTCCAGATGGTGGAAGTATCATGAGAAGAAATTTACCATCAGCATTTGCACAGAAGTCTGGTAAAATGTCAGTACTCAGGGATTCAGATTCCTGACAGAGCAATCAGCTTCAGTTCATTGCTTTTCCAAGCAAAGGGTGACTTGTTTGAAACAGAGGCTTTCCAGAAGTAGACCAGATACTCAGGCTTTTCTTGTGTTTGCCGAAGGGATGCTGTGCCATGCTGCACGCTCCTGATACAAAGACAGAGCATGACTGAATGTGCCTACTAAAATAAGGTTTTAAACTACATTCCAAACAGATACTTATGTAGCATGGAAGTTCTAGAAATAGTAATTTTCACTTTTCTTCATCTAATGTTTTATCAGAAATGTGTGGGAGAAAAAAGCAAGGGAGATGCATCCTCTCTTCTTTGATTTTTATATCAGGCAATTCAGATTAATCGGCGTCTTGTAATAAAGTTAGGTTTGGTGACATTGTTTTAGCTTGTTTGTCATCAAAACTCTGAAAGTAAGTGATTGTGAACCACAGTGGCATCTGTGGTCTTTTTGGCTTTTCTTGTGGATAAAATATTTCTTGTTCCATGGTCTGGGATGTTCTTATGCTGGAAGACTTCTGAGTTGACGTGTATTTAAAAAAAAAAATAAAAAAAAATTAAGCTGGAATACTGATACAGACTT